ATTTAATTGTGTCCTACCCTAGAGATTCCCATGACCTTCTAAATAGTTAACTTTCATAATTTAGTCTTAGAACATTATAATCTTTCTCTGCCAAAGGCCTACTGATATTGTTATTGTCTACATTATCCTGGAGACATCACTAGCAGAAAGTCAACCCTGTGACTTCGGTTACAGTCAAAGGACAGACACAGCAAACTCCCTCTCACTTGTGAACTGCATGAATCAAACCATGGCAAATAGTAATAAATCGAGTGAAAGAACTGATTTTATATATTATAATATTTTTACAAGTGGTCCATAATACAAAAAGAGGGTTCTATCTAAAAAGCATTAGTTTAACAAAAATTGGACATGTCAAATTGGAGTCAGGTCTACTATGCATAATACAGACATATTTACTGAAGAATAAACTGGTTTAACATTATTTGTGTATATTTGTGTGTATTGTGTATATTTCTTCTGTTTGAACTGCTAGTTGCAGAATACTGTCTGGAAATCAGCACCTTTGCAGACTTGTATTTGTCTGTAATATGTCTTGTTTTAAAATAGGTAATACAGGAAATGAAACCAAGCAGCTGATTTAAAATTTCATATTGGATATGTATTGTCATGCAATTGTAAATATTAGTTGCCCAAAATTCAGCCTGCCTACTTCAGCAGGCATGTTTGGGTGCACAGAGCAGGATCCACATAAACTGGTTCTTGTGCACCCTCTTAATCTCACATGGTGCAGTGGTAAAGCCCCATGCTGAAGCTGTGCTCAGTTTGCTCACCTCCTTCAGAGTTAACAATTTCATTTCCCCTCTCACAGCAGAGGAGGAGAAAGAAAATCAGCTCAAGGGAAAGCTGACCATGACTGTTAAAAGGGCCCCTAAGAAAACTGAAAGATGAAGCAAGACAGAAAATGGAAAGCAGGGCCATGTCCTCTTCATCTCTGTCTCCAGGCAGTTGCATTTACAGTTCCACCCTTGGGAAAGATTATAAGAAAGTATAAGGGGCGAGCAGAGAGAGGGGGAGGAACAAAACACAAACAAGGAAACAAACAAGTGAACAACCTTAACTGAGGAAGAGAGTCAGGTTTAGATTTTTGTTGCAAAAGTTTTGGTCCATGGCTGTAATTTTTCATTGATGGCACATAAATTTTAGCCCAAGCCTTAAGTTTGGGCAAAATTCAGCCCATTAAGGTGTGTATATTTTACTTCTGAGGGAAAATTATTTAACTAAGGTAGTACTCACTTAGTGAAAATGATTTATGTTTGTGAAATATATAAGCGCAGTTTATAATTTTACTGTGTTTTCCCAATAAGCTGGTCTTTATAAGAAAAGTTTTTCACCAGAAAAATTAGGCCTAACATGGTTCTTCTTTCTCTTTGTAGTATATTTGTACTAAATGAGCAGCTCATCTATCAGAATTAAGTACTCAAATCCCTCAAAGACCACTGTGCTAATTTCTTTCTATCCTTTGATTAAAACATGGTGCCTCCACTTTTCCAAAATAAGGAATTTTTTTCTCTTTTTACTACTTCAACATGTATTTAGGGAATAATACTTAACAACCTGTCATCTTTTTTGCCCAGAGATATAGCAGTATGAAATTAACTTAAATTAAATGTTAAAACATTTATATTTTTATCAGCACATAAAGAAATGGAAATGGAGTTTCTAAATGAAGCAGAGATTGGTAAAGCCCCATAACTTGAAACACATTACAGATTAATTTAAACTCTCTAACTACATACACTATTTGCTTTAGTAGTCCCCAAATGCATTCCCAAAATGCACAGTAGAACTTATCTTTATTTCAATATTGTCATGGCATACCCATATACATTGTATACTGGGAACAACTGGTACCGGCAGTCAAATAACAGTAAATAGATTAAAATCATTTAGTATCTGTTTCATAAGAGAAAGTTTTATATTCTTTTTCACATCTGCAACACAGGTGTAGAAATAAGGTAGAATCAAGATTTATGGGTGGACAAGAGACCAAGATAAATAAATGTAGCGAAGCAAAACTTTTTGATATAATTATTAAGCTGGTTTTGGTAAAAATTTTGATTTTCATTGAAGTATATTCATTTCAACAAGGCTTTTTTTACAAGGCTTCATATTTACAGAATGGGTGGCTGGTTGGGGTAACAGCAGCCCACAGGATGAAATGGGAATCTGTCTCCCATATCCCATAGGGCTGCTCTGCCTACAGCACTGTTGACTATTCTAACAAGAGGTTAGAGGGCTTCTGCCTTAAAATAAAAATAAAAAATTTACTGTAACAAGATCATTGTTTGCTGATACAAAACAAAAGCAAATTGAAAAAAAATCTTAAACTTTTGTATGGAGTCTGGCTGGAATGTCACAGCAGCTGATATTGTCTCATGTTCTGGATTTGTGACTGAACTGTGTTGATCACATAAAAGTGTTTTGGCTCCTGCTGAGCAGTGCTAGTACAGCACCAAGTCCTTCTGGTTTTCACTCTGCCTCTCTGCTGGGAGGGGGAAGGAGACTGGGAGGAAATGCAGCCACAGTTGTCAACCTGAACTGTCCAAAGGCATATTCCATGCTCACTTGTTAAGCTGTTTAATCTTGACCCAAAGTTTGCTTGCTTTTTCTCTTCCTCTGCACTCCCACATCCCACAGGGAATGATGGAGTAGCTCTGCTTTCCTTTGCTGCTAGCTGGGGTCAGCCCAACACACTCCTTTCCTAACGAAATTCACCGAGCAGCTGAGCCAGTGATTAAATTCCAAATCTATCAACTGATTTAAAAAGACATAATTTTGTCACTAAGGCAGAAATGTGTTCAGTTCGATTCCTAGCTCGGTCCCAGGCTTTCTCTGTGGCCCTGGACAATCTGAATTTCTACTGTCCTTGGACAATTCACTCAATTTCCACCAACCAGAGTTTTACCAAAACTAATTTAATGGTAGCAGCAGCAGCAGCAGCAGCAGCAGCAGCAGCAGCACTGTATTGCTTTTGTCTTGCTCTGGAACTGTTTTCCCTCTTGTTTGTAATCAAATTAATCAGTAAGAAGTTGTCTAAACTTATTACCAAACAGCCTGTGGTCTTCTTTTATAGCAGATCCCATGAATATCAGAAAAGAAAATGGTAATTTGGTTATGTGTGCTTGAGAGGACCAATATCTACTGCAAAGGTTTCCCGTGTCCTCTTGCTGCAAATGCAGCAGCTAAACAGGCTCAGCTTCAGCCTTGCAACTGTGTTTTCACTTTCAAGGCTGTTTGTTCTTTAACTGGTGATTGTGCACATAGAGCTGACATTAAAGACTGTTGAATACAAAAGCTAATACGAGCTTCAGGCTGTCCCCAAAAGTAATTTTTAAAGACAGGTAATAAAACAGACTTGTGTAGTTCATTAGCTACACCTAACCTGACTGAATACATCACTGTCAACTCTAGTAACCTTGGACACAGAAGACAGTGTCACACTAACCAAGATTAATGAAACTACTGAATGTTTAAAATAAGACCAGAGTTTTCAAAACTAAAACTTTTATTGCTGAGGTGTTAAAATGCTAATGGTTTATTTTTATGCAAATAGCTTATATGAAGCATGGGAGGCTTGACAGACACTTTGAACAATTGCAGTAATAAGCAGCATCAACAGTCTCTGGCATGCAAGGCTCTGGAGGAGGTGCCATGTGACTATCTGCTGCTGTTACTGTCTTTGACCTTATTTTTTTTTTTATTCTAACTCTAAACTGAGAATCGTGCTCTCATTTTCTATGCAGCCTCTTTTTCCTTGCCTATAAATTAGGACTTTTAGAATAAAAACTATTTTACTTTTGTCAGTTCTTTACCTCTTCAGTTTTCTTTACTTTTTCCTTGTATTTTTTGATTGACAGGCATAGTCTTATGATAAATCAAACTCAGTAACTTCTCTTAACTGCTAACAATTCTCTCTTACTCTATTTTGATGAGAAGTATTTTTCACTGCATTCCAGGTCTTCTGAAAGACAGAAAAAATTACAATATTGGATGACACATTTTTAACACAAAATATCATTATCTTAAAAAAAATCGAATTTTTATATCTCTTAATGATATGGCTTGTATAAGCACCACCACAACAGTACCAAATATCATGAAGTACATAATAAACAGAATGTGAGAGTAAGGAAACAAAAAGGAGAGCAAAAAACACATCATGTTTGCTTCTCTCATCCTGGGAACCATTAATTCTGATTATTTATTCTGACTTTATTTTAACATATTAATTGGAGGGAGAGAAATAGAAATAATTGATAGTAAAATTAGACTTAAGAAAATTAGGTAAAAAGTCATATTTACCTGACATGAGGCAGCTTAGCAACTAAGAATTAACACCACAGCATTGAAGAGACCTTCTGGGCTATCAAGGACAATGACCTGCTACTGCATGGTTCTTGTCACAAAATTATTAAGTTTTTTGCTTGGAATTTAATGCCCAGTTGTCTCTACCCCACTGCAAAATGGACACATGTCAGATCCATGCAGGATGCTTGTTTGCTCACTTCGTCCATGCGTTCCTGCCCTGCGTGATTCGTGCAAGGGAAGCACTGGTGCACTGAGCACCTGGATGGGGAATGTCCAAATGTCTGCTCTCATCTCTGCAACATCTTGTGTTTTCTGTTTCGTGCTTCCTGATAAGTGTTGGTTTGCTGTCAGTCATTCTCAATGAAAGAGGAGCAGCTGAGGAACAATAGACAGCATTAAATTAAAGCAGCATTAAAAATCAGAATTATTAGAAAAGAAAACCTTGTGGTAAATAAAGTGGATCCCTTTGTTCTACAACATATTATCTTCATAATATTAAGATTAATATTATAAATATTATATCTATATTATAGCTATTACATTAAGTTTTATGGTTACTTTAAATTAAGATAATTTTATTATCTTACTTTCCTTAGAAGTGCTAAACAGAAAATCTTAAGCAGCAACACTTTATGTACATCTTAATCATAAATTATTTTTTAAATAACTCCTAAGAAAAGAAGAAATGATTGATTTTTTTACAACTGGAATTTACAGTGTAAATTTCTTACAAACTGTAATTTACAGTGCTACAACACCTCTGTGAACTCTGCATACTGAAAAATTAAAGTCTTCAACGTCCCAAAATCCTACAAGTTTCATGGTAAAAAATTGCTAATGTTTTTCAAGAGTTCCCTGATTATTGACAAAAATGACTCATTCCTGTGGTTCTCCAGCTACCTGAGCATGAGCAACAAGTTTCCATGGCCCGAAAGCAAAATTACAAAAGAGGGTATTATCAACATTTTTTTTAACAAGGACTAGGAGTCTGAATGAACCGTCACAATCTCAAATACAGTGACAAATAAAGCCCAAATCATCAATCAACTCCAATCCTTTATCATCTTTGCACCATCTATTAGCAACAGTTTCCCCATTAAAATGAGAGGTGTGGATTCTCCTTTGTCCTCCTTGTACTTTCGGTGGATTGAGATAAGATTTTTATGTGGTTTTGGGTGGTTTTTTAATAAGGATGTGGAAATTCTTATCCTCACAGAGCTTGAAGTGGACAGCAAATGCCTCCTCAAAGAGCCAAGTTTGGAGGAGTGAAGGACCCAGTAATGACCATAGGAGAGGAAGACATGTAAACATTCCTAAGCCATCTTAAAATAAACCTACTTGGGACAGTTGCCAGGGAAGCTGAACAGAGAATAAAATTACATCTCTCTAGAATTCACAAGGTGAAGCCCCTCATGGGGGAGAATGGCTCCAGACAGCTGAGACAAGACCAAAAACAAAGGTTAATAGGAAAGGGTAAGTTGGTATCAATATATAAAATTTCATGTAAAGAGGAGCAACCAAAGACTGGACATGGAAATTATTCACATTACCCCAGACCCCTCTGTAAAGCCAGACTTCAGCCACTTTAGCCCAGGAAGTGGAGACCTCCTTGGTTTGCTGACAGTGCTGCCTTGCTGCAGTGAAGACTTCAAAACAGATCAAAACAACCAAAAAACAAGTAGGGCTTGGAAGAACTGTGAAAATAAAAAGGAGAACAGCAGCACAAAGGCAGCAGAACAGCAGCGTGATGAGAAGATATTGATATCATGGGGATTAATTAAAAATTTAAATAATATTTTAAATTATTAAAAGGAAAATAAAATTATTATTCTGTCACCTCTCTCCATGCAGTAAAAGCAAAAAATAGAATGGGGTGACTGCAATCAATGCACTGTTGGTTAACACATAGAAACAATTGAAAAAGATCATTAATAGTGTTAAAGTACAGCTGCTGACATTTTGTATTTTCTTTCCTGACCATCAGATATTTGATAGCACTTTCTATGCATAGTCAATAAAAGCTGAATAAGTAGGCAGGTAAAAATAATTTTTTTTTTAGCCCCTCCCCATCAAATACCAATTCCCAAATGTTTTCTAAAAGTTTTTTAACTACATGCTATTCTAAAATATTATTTTCCAAACTTCCATTACCTTGAATTTACTCTTTTTCTACATTAAAAGTTTTAGAGGAAATAAATCTTTCAAGGAGGAGGCAAGTCATAGCAACTGAATGTTAAACAAAACTCTCAACAAGGTAACCCAAAGTTGCTAAGCTGGATGTGAACAGTAAACGTCTCCTCCATTTACATTTCACTTCTGCATTTCCTGTTACAGATATAGTGGGGGTGAGAAAATCTGTTCTCACATAGGCAAGAACCTTTACCCATATGATCAAAAGACTGAGATTAATTTATTTGATTCTCTAGCACACATCCTCAAGACAACCTTCCCTTGCCAGGCTGCAGGACAGAGCAACTGTCTCATCTGGAACTTGACCTCCACACGAGAGTATTTCTGTTAATCGATGTGTTTGTCCTGCATTGTGCTGCCAGCAGCAGCCACCTCTGAGTCATTTTCTAACACTACAGAATGCAACTGTGAAGAAAAAAATCAACAACTAAATAAAAGTGTAAGAAGTTACTCATCTGTCACTGGCAATTAGACATGAGAGCCAGAAAATCCAGAGCTATTTTGTCCTTTGTACTAGCTCTAGTTAAAATTAAGCATTCCTCAATCAGCCCACTTGCAGCGAGAAGAGAGAAAGCTACTTCTGGTGGACTAGAAACACTAGAAGCAAAAAAGACTTACTGTTTACAAGCAGTAAGTTTTAATAGCAGCATTTTGAAAAGGAAAAACTGAATACTTATTTTGTAGGTATTGATGGTCTGTGTGCATTGCTCCCTCTAGTGTAAAAGACAGAAAATCACAACAAACATTCCCCAAAAAATCACTGAGATCAGTAACAAACTTTTTAAAAACATTATTCTCTAGTCACATTTTCCCCCTAAATATTTATACAATAATTGCTCATATTTTGATACAATAAAATACATTTTCACATAGTTTCAAATGGTGATGTAAGTCTCACACTTTTATCAACAGGAAATGATCACACCAGAACTGAGCAGTGGATGTACAAACTTACACCCTGTACTTATAACTGTATCACTCCCCAAGAAGCTGGCAAGCCAGAATGTGGTGTTTCAGTTTTACTTTCCATTGGAATACTAATTTCCACTCTATTTTGTTTATTTATTTCTGAGTAACTATTTTAAACTTTAACCCAATCTCACGAGCCACTGGATGATACTGGACTTCATCACAAGAGAGTATGGAAACAGCAACTGACACTGCAGCAATCTCCTCTCGACAGGGTCTGGGAAGAATTCCTGGGAGTTTCCACTGCATAACCAAACAAAAATAAACGAGCCTTTCATGTCAGTTTCATCAGAAGAAGACGCAGAACAAGCTTATTTTAATCAGTACAGTTTTCCAGCTGATAATTCTCATACGTACATACAGTCCCCTGAAAGATGAAGGCAGCACATCTTCCTTTTCCACGAACTGATGAAACCATCTCTGAACAGAAAAGTTATAAAATAACACTCAGAAATCTGAGCAAAATTCGAAATAGAGCTTTCCCTGATGATGTGATTTTAAAAAAAGTTCAGAAATAATTAATGCTCTTTTTTGCAAAGATGAGCTCTTTTCCCCCCTGCAATGTTGCTAGCGTGCGAAGAAACTGAGAACGTAGGAAGCCTTCTGAAGAATCATTTTGCAACTCTATGCTTTCATTTTTACTGGCACTTGTATTTCACAGGAATCAGCATCCTTATCATACAAGTACTGTCGTCTTCCAACTTCTGCTGTAGCTGCATTTCAGCTTTCCAAGGTCCAAGACAGAAAACAGGTCCATTTCTCTGTGCACCAAAATGAGGTTATGAATCATTATCTAGTTTTACACATACAAAATCTGAGTATCTTTTGTGGAACCAATCTGAAATAAAATCTGATGCAGTGTATTTTTTTTTAATACCTTTAACAGAGTCCTCATGATGACAAGTGGTTCTACTGTCTCAACACTGCCCAAATTAGGCTCCAATCCCTTTAAAGAAGACCATGATTATATCTCAGATCCTTGAAGTCATTGTATTAAATGCAAACCACCAGATTTAATTTTTCTAACTGATGTAGCTGTTGAGGCCATCAGAGCAGCACACTTCAGTGATGGTCCTTCCAGAGTACCTGCCATCACTGCTCTCCCTAAAGCTGTGTCTGCTGTCAAGCCTGAGAAAACGGTTTGCTTCATCATTTGTGAAGTTTATCCAACTCATCATCCCTAATTACCAGGGTCCATCACAGGCAACTGGTCTCAGCTAACTGCAACACCTCCTGTGCAAAGGGCTCAGTCAGGACAATGCTGGGTGCCACAGGAGAACATTCAGCTTCTTGGCCCAGTGCCTCTGCAACAGCTCAGTCATGGAGTAAGAAAATGGGCACTGCAGCAAAATCTCAGGGGCTAAATTCAGGACAAAATTTACAGTTGAGAAAGAAATTTTATTTCAAGCTTCTACGGGGGTATTACAAACAATAGAGAATAAAAACATTAAAAACTATTTAAAAAGTAATTGTCCCTTTAAAATAAAGATTCAAGCAGGTTTAACAATGAAGTATGCTATTCAATGAAGTTTTAAAAAAAAGATTTAAAAAGTATTGGTTTTGCTGTATTTGCTAATCCTTTATAAAAAAGCTGGGCATAAATACTTCGTGCATTCATATGCATTATTTGGTGTTTCATATTATATAACTTGGTACAGTATTTACGATATCACTGCAAAAGAGTTCAAACACAGTGCATTTATAAATAATGGAGCCATTATAAATCACATTGCAAACATACCTTGCCATTTTCATTGTTACAAATTCAGTATCTCAGTGAAGGTAGGAATAAAGTAGCTACAACAATCAATATCTTGACTTTATTTTTTTTCTTTTTAATATAAAAATGCAGTTCTGGAAACCCACCCTCCTTCTTCCCCCTGCCCAAACATAATGCTTTACTTCTTAAAAATAAAAATAAAGTACTAATTCTATATACATCACATGTACCATACAAAAATGTATCCAAAGTTTCTATTGCTACCAAAGTGTTCTAAATTAAAAGTTACATAAATCCCCTCATTGGAAACAAAAGATTACAAGTTACCAAAAAACCGAATTACACACAAACCATCGAGTTATTTTATACAATTTCCAATACATTTTTCTCCCAAAGCAAGTTGTCTTCTCATGTGCCTGTATAAAAATGCATATCAATATATTTGTCAATTTTATTTTTCATTATAAAGCAAATTAATACATTTTCTACAATAAATAAAACACAGGGAGGCACACATATCAACAAAATTAAACCAATGGGAGATAAATGGGATATGGTTTTGAAAGAAATAATGTGCTTGCAGGCTTTAAGCCAGGTTTGTTTAAAACAGTAAGAACCTTAAGTAATTTTGGGCAACAATGGAGTGTTTTTGGTGATTTGCAAGTGATGTACATAGTATAATTTTTATTGATGTCTTTCTCACAAAGTACCCTCCAAAATAACGCAACTTCCTTTCTTAAAATACATATTTGTAATTGTAAATTTACATCAATCTTAAATATGCGGTACTTTGTGCAAAGAGCAACAATTTACACAAACATTCAGAAGTCTTTTTCAGAAGCTACAGACCAAGGAAGAAATGATACAAGCAGCACCATACTGTATATGATTTAGGCAAACATATATTTGATGCCATTTTGATATTAGGCTTTAAGATCAACTAAACACCTCAAGCTGGAAGATGGTGCTTAGGTAACTTAAACTCAGAAAGAAAGAAAAGAAAAAAAGTAAAAAGCATGGAAAAAACAAAAACCAATTCCCTCCCCAGCAAAATTATAAAAGGAATTAAGGAGCTACTTCTAAAATCAGAATAAGTTAAGTGTTGAATATACATTTATGTACAATTATGAACACTATGAACAAGACATTTTAACAGGTTTAGTGGAAAATCCTCCAATCTACAACACAATAAAATAATTAATCAATATGGCAATGGTGATTTAGAAGAATTGCTCAACTATTTCAAGTTTGCAGAACTCAGCCACTGAATCAACAATTAAGGGGTTGTATCTTCAATACATTCTTTTAGACAAAGAGGTTCATTAGTAGAGTTCAAGTCTCTGGGGTATTTTTCATGCCTTGCTAGAGAATCTCTGTTAGTCAATATCACTGAAGTCACTGACTGGTTCTCCATGGACTCGACTCAGGTGATTCATAGCACGATCAAAAGCAATTCTTACTGCTTTTCGTATGCTCGAGTTACGTCCTTCCATCATTTTTAACTTGTCTATGGTCTCATCTATCCCAAGGGGAACCATTTTGGATTTGGGAAGCCACTGCCTGTAAGAAAAGGGTAAAAAATAAATCTGTTAAATATAGAATAAAATCAAGAAGTCTGTCCAGAAATGTCAAGGCTACTATGCCATGCTTCTCGTATCACAAATCAGTTTTACCACCTTAAACAAAACAATTAAATACCTTTTAAGACAGTGCTTACTTGCATTAAATATTTAAAGCACATGAAATGTTAAGAAAATCTCTTCCATAAAACAGAGAATGTATTCAGTGGTATGTACTTAGTGATTAAGTATGAACAGAAAAAACACAGCCTAAAATACTGATGCAGTTAAAAAAATAGGCAGCAGCAACTAACAATGGACATGGCTCAAGTTTCACCTGACACAGTATTGTTTCCTCTCATTCTTTCCCTTCCATTATTACAAGGAGTTTTCAGATGATGGATTTTTGCCTTACATTTCAAGCATCTAGATTTGTTCTTCATGGAGAAAGCACAGCTGGCAAAGAAGTTCTGCTTTAGCATGCTTTTACCCTGCAGTATGAAATCCCACTAGCTCTGTATTCAGGGCACTTGTCTGTTTCAAGCTCCATAAATATCTTCAAATTCTGGGCATGGAGGAGTGGTAATGGAATAAGCTCTACATCCCCTTCTTCCAGTTAAAGCATTCTAAATATTTACTTTAATTTATACTTTATACTTATATATACTTTATACTTATTTATACTTATATTTATACTTTATACTTACACTTTTATACTTCAAAAATATAAATTAAATTTACATCATTTTCATAAAGGTTGATTGTAATCCTGTTTTCCAAATTTACAGACATTGAGGAAAACAAAAATTAGGTAAATTAATGAATATATTTAAGATACGCTACTGTAGTCTGCAATCCCAATCCTGCAGAAGACAGAAGCCCTCCTTTTGTATAAAAACATTAGTTTGGGAGGGAAACCATTTGAAGACAACCAACAGGAGATCAGACAGTCAAATCTTCAAATATTTTCTTTTAAATAAATAAAATTGGCTATTGAAATATTTTCATTTTCTCAAAGGACTCTAAACTAGAGCCCTATTGTATTGAGCACACACATTGAAATAAAATGTGAAGAGTCAGTACAAGGACACAGACAGTATGATAACAGCATGAAAAGCATCAGTCTAACCATTATCAGTTTTAATACAGATCAGAGGAAGTTTTAAGAAGGTATTTTTAAAAGAAAGCTTTGCAAGTCCTCCAGATATAAGCAGGGAAGAAGAAGAAACAAATATGAAAACCCATAGGGGACAGACAGTGGTATCACAGAATAAAGGTGACAGATACCCTGCAAATGAATGAAAATCACAAACAGGAGTTCAAGACTACAAGAGACACAACAGAGATAGAATTATGAGTGCTAAAATAATCACAATAAAAGAATCACTACCAAAACAAGTTGGTGGGGTCAGGATGGAGGGGAGGAAAGGAGCTGGAAGAAGTATTGAGTCTTTTCCTGTCCATCTATGCAGAGTACCCATTAGAGACAACTTTGCACATTATTTACATGATTTAGGACCACCTGCACATAGAGCCTAATTAGAAAAGTTTAAGCTGCAGAGGACTCCCCAGATCAAGAAGCAATCAGAGCAATTATTAAGAAACTGATCAGGGGAAACATGCATTACATTGGCAACACAAGTAAGAGAAAAAAGAATTAGTAACAAGCCTGAATATGTTTAAATGCAGATGTTCCCTGCAAAAAAAGGCAGAAGAATGCAGGATCTTATGGAATCCTGAGCAACTGAACAAAGACAATTAAGATGAAGTACCAATTAATTAAGAAAATAACTGAAGAACAGAAAAATTATGCCAAAAAATCTAAGGGGAAAAAGAGTAAACATCAGTTATACGTTTTAAGCAGAAACTTATTTAAGTGATAGCATACTGGCACAGCATCACTCAATGCCACATATAATCATCTAAAGAGGAAACTGATAGCTAAAAGTAAGCAAATTCAAGAGAAAAACGAGACATGGACAGATTTACAGTTAGCTTGACCTGTATGGAAACTAGGAGAGGAGAGGGACGACAGAGAATATAGAAAAGAAATAGGTAGTTTGATGAAAGGCAGATGAGAAGCTTCCATGTCTAGGAAAAACTCACCAAAACCAAAAACAACCCTAATAACCAAAAGAAGACCAAAAAACCTTGTGTGTCTCCTCCTACCTCCCCAGAAAAACCCCACCAGCCCTAAAATTGAAGACCATGGGGGAGGGAAACAGAATGTTTTGTTGTGTGAACTATCCCCCTTCAGGCTCTACATAGCATATTGCTGATGCCAAAATAAATGGAAATAAGGAAGATTTAATGAAAAAAATAGAAAAGGCTAAGTGAAAGAAAGTGTTAATAAAGCAGTGAGTTAAAGAGAGGTTAAAAATTCAAAGACAATGCACTTGAGAAGATTGGGAGAAGTGTTGTAATTCAGAAAGCAATGATGAAGGATAAAAGAGATAAATGTTAAACTATTACTTTTAAAAAACTTATGAAGCAATGAAGCAATTTCATCTGGTCAATAAATGAAAGTCACTTGTAAATAAAAAAGACTATCAATGACTTAAAATATTTTTTCCAAACTGATGACAAAATGGTATCTTTCAGTGATGATATATACCTTGGTCCAAAAATAGACTCAAACATGAAATTTTAACATTACAGTTTATACTTCCATTGGAATTATATCCATGGAAATATAATGTTTCAATTTTCTTCTAGACCAAAGACACAGGTTCTTAAAATTTTAAGTCACTGCATCAAACAATACATTTCAATAACATACCAACTTCTTTTGTTGTCAAAAAATAGTACTAAGAATAGTTTCTCATCTGATTTGGTCTGCATTTGTTCTCCAATTTTCAGTACATCTAGAGGTGGCACTGGTATAGTAACACCATTGTGATGGCCAGCAACACGAGGCATCTTAGGGTCAATAATCTGTAAGAGAGAAGAAAGGACAGTTCCTCATTTTTAAAATTATGTAATTCATTTTAAGAAGGTATTACAAATTAAGTTAATAAGAAATAAATAATAAACTAAACAGCCACTGGATATAAATTGACTTTGTGTTACACACATTTTTTGACATAAGCTGAATAGGCATGAACTGTTCATATAACCTTAAAGGCCTAAAGCCAAACACCTCATCAATATTTTCTCTGCAAGCTTTGATTTAAGCAGAACTGTGTCTGTTTCTCCTTTAATAACACACACATATATGTATCTCCTCTGCTTAACAACAGCTTTAAATTTCCAGTACATCATTCACAATTGGCCGCCATTAGTCAGTTTATTCCTGCTATTGAGTTTTTTGTTTCCTTAATGAGCTGCAGCATCAAGAGTATTTTAGCAGCAGAAATAATCTGTAACATAGAAACAAAGACTACTGAGACAAGCATGTTGGTTTTAGCAGGGATAGAGACAATTTTCTTCACAGTAGGCGGTATGGGGCTATGTTTTGGATTTGGGTTGAAAACTGCATTGACAACGTAAAGATGTTTTTGTTAATGCTGAGCTGTCCTTACATAGACAAGGCCTCTTCCCCTTCTAACACTGCCCCACCAGTGAGGAGGCTGGGGGTGCACAAGGAGTTGGGAGGGGACACAGCTGGGGCAGCTGACCCGAACTGACCTTAGGGATAGTCCATCCCATACGGCATCATGCTTAGTATATAGAGCTGGGGGAAGAAGGAGGAAGATAGGGACATTCAGTGTGATGGTGTTTGTGTTCCCAAGCCACATGTAAAGGAGCTCTGTGTTCCTGGGGATGACTGAACACCTGCTGCCCATGGGAAATGGTGAATGAATTTGCTTTGCTTGTGTGGATGGCTTCTGCTTTCCCTATTAAACTGTCTTTATCTCAACACAAGAGTTTTCTCACTTGCACTCTTCTGACTTCCCTCCCACCTACAGGGAGCGAGCGAGCGAGGAGGCTGCACGACACAGGAGTATTGCACATCTCCAAGGGCGGCAGGGTAGCAGAAATTATTGACTTAAAATCCGGTACTGCAGTGACTTTACAAACTCAGTGCATAGTAAAGAGGGCAGGACAAGCCACCTTTCTCCAACCTGAATGGGAATTTACCAATTACCTTAAGTATGCACATTTCAGACCAGAAACAGTCACTACTGTACTTCTGGGAAGGTGGCCACTTACCAGAGCTGGGTAGGAGGGATATCCACTGCATTTGGCCCATACTACTTTTAGAGGCTCAAGAACAGATGTTGCAGCATCAGTTGAAATCCACATACTGCTATGCCCAACTTCTAAGAACAAAGAAACATAAAATTAAAATGTTCCAGAATGAAACCTCAGACAAATCTGCAGTTCTTCATTTCCTAATCAATAGCTCATGACCCTTAAAATCCAAATACTAATACCAACTTTCACACATATACCAATAAAAACAAGGTAGTATTCATAAGAGCTCTTTACATGATATTAATACTTTTTTTCCAAGCTTACAGATAAGGAACAAGAGTTTAGACACTTCTAGAAATGGCATATCTAAAACATCTTAGTTCTTAGACAATATTTGTCAAATTCTAATAACTCTTTCCCTTTGAAAAAGCTCCAAAGAAAACATAAAATTATGGTACTTCAAATAACAGTTTCTTTTACTGTGATGACAATCCTGTCACAGAGGTGATGATTTTCAAGATGCAGTTTGCATGGTATATATTTCCAAGTGTTGGATACCTGGATACCCACACTGAGATTACCACCTCATGACTTAGCAACACTGGTACACCTTTCTATTCTTATGCCTAAATTCTGACCTGCATTTTGATTGCCATTTATTTTTAACAAGTTTTCTTGGTCTCTCTGCCCTGCCCTTTCCTGCAGTCAAGTTCAAAAATGTCAACAGGTTTCCAGGCAGCAGCACTAGTGTTTTATTTCTTCTCAAAAAGCAGGGTAATGAACAACTGAGTGTAAGTTACTGTGCACTTCTACAGAATCCTCAATTTTCTTCTCTGCTGCTCAGCAATGGATTGAAACCTGAGACAGGCATAAGCCTTTCAGTCAACCAAAACCACAACTGGTCCCCAAGATACAGTCCAGAGACTGATCAGAAGAGTGAGTTATAACTTCACGATGGAACTGGGGGTGGTGATCAAAGGGGGAAAAGTGATCCAAGTTCATATGCTGTAAAGGTCAGGCAGCACTTCTTGTATGGGGAAATCTGGTACCAAGATACAGTTCAGGGGCTGCAGCTGCACTTTCTTTCAGCAGTCAGGCAATACTTACTGCTGAGAGAAAGTGCTTTCAAATGGGCACTGCTTATTTATAATGAGAGGTGGCATGCAGATACATGTTCTAACTTGACATTACAAAAACATGCCAGGGTTTGTTGTCGATCATAAACCATAAAAGTGGTTTAAGATCTTTTAAAAGTAGAAATAGCAAGAAAAAAGTATTTAAAGTGATCACATTAAAAAATTTAGTTCAGTCATTCTGCACAGGAAGTTGTTTCTCTGCTCTGTTAGTAACAGTCTGTAAAGTATTCACATGTCAGTTAGAAAGAGCCATGAGGGTTTCAAATAATTCATCTTTATTTACAGACTGTTTCAAAAAATATGTATGTAGAACTGTATCTGGTACATAAAAACAGTTCAAGTTCTCTTCCTCAGGACAGCTAACAAGAAAGAAATCTACACTATTCTCAGCTGCAAAGAAAATGGTATTTTAATGCTGAATAGAAAATCATACATGAGCTGACAGGATGCATGCAGCCAGACTCAGAGACTTCTCAAGTGTACATACAAGTAGGAGTCTCAGAATTTTTCCGAGTCAGAGTTTATTCCACATGACAGTAAGGGGTTACTAATCTAGCACATAGGATTACGAATTTTCTTTTACAAGATCTGCAAAAGAAAACTCATCTTCTCTTTTTATTTCAAAACCTCTTTATTTCCTCAAGCAAGAAGAGAAAATTAATCAAAAAACAGAGTCAGATGCTATTCTTTAAAAAGACTTCCAGGAGTCAAAAGCAGTAGTCAGTAGTTTCTGGAAGAATATCAACAACACTTTGAGACAGCTTAATGTATTTAAGCAGTAAAAATAAGAAAGTTAAAATCTGTCAAATAAATGGAAAAAATTATACACTACTATTAAGAATTCAATTATTTATAGTTACCAGCTGCAATTCTTGCTGCTTTGGCATAGTTTCCATTTTCAATGCATGAAATCAGCTCACTTCGATCTTCCAGTGTGTGTCTCCGTATCAGGGCAGGTTTACCTTTACCGCACTTCGGGAGACTAAAACTACAAAAGTATTCATATTAAAATCACTATTTGATAATTAACATTGTTCACTATAAATCAAAATTTTGAACGAGAATTTACATTTCATCAGTGCAGGGTAAAATCAATGGAGCAAGCTCTAAAAATATTTTGAATAAAAAATACAAACAGCATAAAAGCCAAAGTTCTGATTATTTTCAAACACAGAATTGCCTGGTTATCAGCAAAAGACAGGTCCACTGCTCCAACAGTTCTACTACACAGAAAACACAACTATTCTCTCTTTAATTTTTCACTAAAAATTTCAGTCTTTCAACTGTGAAATGTCTCTTCTCAAAATGGCAAATTTGCTTTCTACATACTTGAGTTTTCTTCAAGAAATCAGAGAATGTGAACAACAATTATACTGACAATTTGATCCAGAATATCACATTTAAAATATATGCAATAGTAAATTATCTTTGCATTAACACCATTCCCTTAACCTGAACACATGAATAAAGTCCTCTTTTTCTGTCTAACAGATTTACCTTATACTGTCCTGTATGTCCCACCCTCATAGCCCAGGACTGGAGACAGCTACCTGTCACCCAGAAATCAGTGTTCTTTCAGAAGATACACCACTGGTGATGGAGACATCAATGGTGGCAGACAGGCCCATTCTGACAGTCCTGCCTTTAACAGCAGACTCCATGGAGAAGTCAATAGCTGGTACAGTTACTATCAACACTGCAGTAACTACCCAGACACCCACAGACTGACAACCCACAGTTCCAAAGCTATCAAACTACCTTTTTTTGTGTAAAAGACTCTGCTTTGTAAGTTGCTTCTCTACTGCCTTCACAAAAATAAACACACACATTTTTAGTGTTCCAGATTGGGAAAGTAATTAAGCCAAGATACTGTAGGTAAAAACATATCTGTATCTTTACAGTGCAAGAGAAGCACAGTCAGTTTAAAAATGTAACTGCCTGGATATGCAATAACCTGAATTCAACAGAAGAATCCCAGAAATCCTGAAAGATAACTTGGATCTGATATAACTAAGAAAACTTAAATACACTCTTTTTTCCATAATTTATGCAATCCTCCAACGTGGGTCACCAGCACTATAGAAAACTGATATATTCAGTCTCAAATCGGTATTTCATATTTACAGTTTTACCTGGAGTTACACAAGAGACTGTTACTAGATGAAATACTAGATTCTGATGCACAGCGGCGACGAGGTTCAACTTTTCTTCCAGGAGTATCATCTAATGCTCTCTCTTTACTTTCATCTCCAAAACCATTTGATAGACCTGCAGCATAACACAAAAAATAAACTGCATCAAACTGGAAACCACACCATTTTCATTAACAATCTTTTGTATTTACACAATGCACACAATTATTGTTTTGTTCTTCAAATACTTTGGTGTGATGAAAAAGAATGTGAATATTAACAAAATATGTAATTTCAAGGAAGTATTATAAATAGGAAGTTCCTGTTGTCCAGATTTTAAAAACAGGATGAACCGTTAGGTAAGGTACAAAAAAAAAAAAAAAGCAAGCAGAGATTGTAACATGGGAAATACTAACAGGAGTATCAAATCAGTCTTTGCAGTAATGTTTCCAACCATTAAAACAATCACGTTGCAAAAGCTAAGTAGAAAAAAACCCAAGAAAATAAAATGTTACAAATCAGGCAGATTACCAAGTCAACAAAAGGCTTATTTCAATGCAATGCTATGATCATTAAAATCCTTTTCAATCCTGGAAGTAAAGATTGATATGGATTTCTCCATGACACTGTCTAATTCTTCCCGGTAGGGTATCCATTTTAGTAAACTCAGACTGACTGACACTATGATGACTGTCTTCTGTCACCAATAATCAATAATGTGCATGGTACTGTTTTTAATTAGCCTTCCCCTAACAAAAGTTTGCATACATCAAAGGATATTACATTTTAATTTCATAATTGTAATGAAAACATTAAAAAGGCTCTTATATTACAATCCACTTATTTGATGGGCTGTTGCCAATCCTGCTCTGGGTTTGCTATACAAACAGTATTGTCCTTATTAAGCCATTTCTAAGCTTGATTAAAGAGGCAAATAACAAGTTTTAAGATAGCATTCTGAAGACTTTCCAGGGTGCGTGGGAGTTTATGTGGAGGTGCGGACATTAGGTCTACAAGGAAAGAATCCCACAGAGACTCTAGAATACAATCAGAAATGCCCTCAGCTAAAGGCAATGGTACCAGCCTGCAGTCAGCCACTGCAAACTGTAGGCTACAAAGAGAACAACATTTTAAAACAAATTCAATTCTGGGCATGCCACTCCCAACACAAGAAAGACCTACCCATCCCAGCCATCCTTACCACTACCAAAGACTTGAAGGCCATCATGATCATTGTACATTCAGACACAGTCAAACTAGGTTATGTAACTTCACATGACCCTCCACAGAGCCTTTTACTGTAAAATAATTATGGCAGAACTCCCTTTATTAATTCTTCCAGTCTGTTTGCTACAAAGACAAAGGAGGCTGATAACTAAGGAGCTTGAGCGTAGCAAGTTACTTTTCACAATCCAGTAATTTTTCAAGCATTTCCATATAGTGACTTATGGGGTTTTTCCCCTCCACCCCAGGAGATCTTCCATTTGGATTATCAACACAATTTCAGATTTTTAAGACAAAAAGGAATATATTTACTTAAGATTCTGAAAGATTTACATATAAGCATTCTCTTTCATTGTCATTTAGTTTACACTGTAAATATTAATTTGAGAGTGTTTGTTTTGTAACTCCTGTATTTGCCTTTGATGTCCTACAGAAGAAAAATGATAAAGGTAGCATTGCCCTGAGTGACAAGCACCAAACTATTTATCAGTGGTATTAATTAATCTTGTTCTCACTCTCAGCAAGTTGATAAAAATATCTGCAGATTAAGGACGACTTTGGTCTTAGACTGTGGTGAAACAGAGCAAGCTTTATGAAAAAATGTATAGGGGAATTTAAGTTATCACAGTACATTTCACATGACATTTGAAATGAAAAGCTAAAAAAAAAACCATTCTGCAAAGGACATCTCTTACGTCTCTGCAAAAATTACTTGTTATTCTTCAATATCCTGTCAGATCTATCTTTTAAGTGAGGTGTATAAACTGTTTTGTTTTCATCCTGCCACAAGCCGGAGACACATTACTCAAGTTATCACTCAGGCATCTAGCTAATGTGAGGCAGCTATCAGCAGAAACAAGTCAGATCACAGACTGCATTTTAAACAGGAAGACAGATCAAGTAATGATTGCTGCCAGAACAAGGGCACAGTTCACATTTCCAGTGGACTCTGAAAATGGAAAGAAGTACCTGTGTTAAGAGAATGTGCGAAACATTTAACCATATATAAGCCAAATGTGACTTGGATGCTTATCTCTGCATACATTGGTTTTGTACATGCACACCCAGGACAAAAGGGGCAAAATAATATTTTTATTACTTCAATCAGTTTATGACTGCGCTGTCACCAAAATGGACATTCTGGCACTCTCAGTCCCTGGCAATGGTGGCTTCTCTTTGTCAACAAGTCAGTGCCAAGAAATGGTAGGGAGCCAGTTTTCAGCAACACAGTGGACAAAGCAAGCATGTGATTGCCTGACTGCTGAAGTTAAGAATCAAGGGATACAGCAGAAACATGCAACTACAGCAATGGAGACAGCTCTCTGAGGTGGCAGTCCAGCCCTATTCTAGTTTAAATATAAGCTGTGAGTTTAATGACTCATTTAATTCACTTCAGATTAGAGTAAAAAATGTTTTATCAATCTGTAGAATAGTTACTAACAGTGGTGTCCTGGTTTCTGCTGGGATGGAGCAAATTTTTTTTCTGAGCAGCTGTTACAGTGATGTATTTTGATTTGAAGGTTATAACACACTGATGTTTGAGCTGATGAGCAGTGCTGACAGTTAATTAAGGACTTTTCAGTGTCTCATGCTCTGCCAGTGAGCAGGGGCACAAGAAGCTGGGAGGGACCATAGCCAGGACAGCTGACCCAAACTGGCCAAAAGGATATTCCATACCATGGAGTGCCATGCCCCATAGATAAAATGATGGGAGTTGGCTGGGAGAGGCTGATCACAGGGCTGGGCACTGGTTAGTGGGTGCTATGCAACAATATTGCATATCACTTGTTTCTCTTGGGTTTTATTCCTTTTTCACATTATTATTATTATATTTTACTTTTTTTCAATTGTTAAACAGTTCTTATCTCAACCCAGAGGTTTTACCTTTTTCATATTCTCATCCCACTGTGAGGACCAAGGAGTGGGAAGTGAGAGAGTGGCTGGTTGGTACTTGGTTGTCAGCTGGGGTTAATCTACGGTAAGTGGGGAAAAAACCCCACTTACATATTTTTGACAAAAAAGGAATACTAAAGTGCAAAAGAATTTAGAGCTTCCCAGACATATTTCTCTCTTGCTTGTGGAAGTGTGAAAAACAAAGAACATGCAATCTATCAGCAGGAGTAATTTTCCTGAGCACCAAGCCCCAAATGACAAGAGCTTACACCATCTATGAGACTCCAGTTTATACAGTTCATGTTTCAGAAGATATAAGGAATAGGCATTATTTTAAGAAAGGAAAACCTCAAGGCTTATTTTAAACAAAATGCACTCATATCTAGTCATAGATGAAGTGGTTCACAGGTGACCTTGTAACTTGCCAGAAAAAACTGAGGCAATAAAACCTAAGTGTTTTATGGCAGCAGCACTGATGTGCAAAAAAAAAAAAAAAATCAGATATACTACACGATTTGGTTTCTGTTATATCATTACAAAACTATTTTCTCATGAATCATGAAACACCCAATGTCCTGTAGCTGCTACAGTAAGTGGAATTAAAGATCTCCATTTGCTTTAAGGAACTTACATTTTATAGCATCAGCAGATGTAACTAAGAAGGCCAAATAAAGAAAATCCATGAGACCTAATTCATCCTGCTTACAACTCTTCCACAACCTCATGATTTTGCTAGATCAAATGAGCTTTCTCCAGAGTCAGGAAGTGAAATTCTATGTCAGGTACTAAACTTCTTACACCTATTGCCTCCTCATCAATACCACTGAATGACAACTCTCCTCTTCCCCCCTGAAGTCCTAAAGACCAAACTAAAAGCCTTTACTTAGTGGTTCATTTCCTTTACTTTTCCACTCTGTTCTTAAGTTTCTTCAAAAAAGCAGTCCACTCTCAAGAGGCAGAACTTAACCTTTTTCAATTAAAAAGGGAATGCTCAAACAATGAAGTCTGCTACCACTCTTAAATGCAGGGTTACTTCCATTTCTAATCTTCAGCTCAACTTTTATTTACATGGAAAATTTACTGCCTTGCAAATCACAGCATAACACAACCATTTTGAAAATAAAGAAATGCTAACTAAGAAGAAAAAAAGTAAGGCAAAGATGATCAGCCTGATAATTTTCCACAGGTCTCTCACTGCCCTGAAAACTGTATTTATCAGGCAAAGTTTTAACTTCTTTTTAACAATGCCAGTTTGTTCTTAGGCTGCATTTAAAACTTTCACTGACTACCTACATCAAGCAAGTTGGAATCCTTTTGCCCATATTAAATAAATGGAATTAGGAAAAGGTAATTTCCAAAAGAGAGCAGAAGTTTGGAAAACATGATAGAGGAACAAAGCTCAGTATAGTCCAAAGAGCAGCACAGAATGTCCACGAATGTACAAAATGCTGCCCCAGAATACAAAATTGTACATTTCAGACTGTAGTACACCTTACAGTTCTGCTGAAACAAAAAGAAAGAAGCAGAACTTGAAAAAAATTATTCTAAAGCAATTAATTCTGTACTATGCGTAGCTTGATGCAAAACCAAGCACATCAAAATGTAAGATGAAGTGCTCTCCTACAACTAGACATGAAGGGCTGAAATTCAACCACTAAAAAACCTGGGAGCATTCAAACAATGACTGCACACAGTGCACCAGCACTTCTACAACACTATTTAGTCTCATTTTCAGTTGTGACTTGAGCACTTACCCTGAAAACTGATGTTACTCTTCATTAAAATATATATGCAGTAGAAGAAAAGGTGTATTTTTTGTAAAAACGCATTTTTTTATCTGGTAGGTTTCACTTCTCCAAGGAAGATGAGACTGGTTTTTGTGGGGAAGGGAAGAGGATGGAGATGTAGCATTCTTAGCTAATCTGCTCTCACAGAACATGTTCTGGGAATAAGAATGTTGGGACTGGTAAAACTCTGCGACCAGTGTGTGTCACATATACTACAACACGTACAATTTTG